GAATTAGATTGTTCTATCTCCCAAAATTTAAAGAGGAACAAATAGCAGTTTAAAGTTTAATTTATATACAAATGAAATTTTAAAAAGCTGTTTTTCCGTGTTTAGGTTTTGGGAGATTCTATCTTTCAAAAATCTGACACGGAAAAACAGCTTTTTAAAATTTCATTTGTATATAAATTATACTTTAAACTGCTATTTGTTCCTCTTTAAATTTTGGGAGATAGAACAATCTAATTCTCAGGTCGCGATTTTCCAACAAACTTTGTATGCATAATATAATATTACCTAATAACAAAATGAGTAAAAAACCTACTATTTTTAATAACTTGATAAACAAAAAAACACATTTATATTTATATTCTTTGTAGTAGCTTATATTAACATGGTATTTTATTTAGACTTTTATAGCTACATTCAGCTGTCTCGCGAAAAAATTTACGACTTTGCCCATCTCTAATTATATACTCCTAAAGCCCATTCAATGCAAACATGACACTTTTTTAAGAGTCCATTGTATACTATTTCTGTCTCCGAAACACAAACGATGTTGCCGACATTAATGTGTGGTAACCAAAAGGTTTTTTGGTGTAGGGTTTATTCTGCAAAATTTTGTCTTTCTAGGAGAATATCTTTAGGTAAGTTTTTTTTCGTTTTCCGGTAAACATATCCCGAAATCTGGAGGTCATTTTTCGTCCTTCGCCCTGTCAAATCTTATTTCACCCATAAAGAGACCCTTAAAAGCCCTCGCCCTTCGACTGCGAACATAACATTTACGATTCTTTTATTGTCGGCATCAAAGTTTATGTTGTGGCACTGTGCGTCAAAATTACGGAGGGGGGGACAGAAGTTAATGAATAAAAGAAGTGCGGTCTAAAATATTCGGTTTGGAAGCTCCAATGAAGTTAAAAACCCATTATCTTCAAACGAGTTTTTTCAAAAATATTTTTATTTGGAAAACAATATTAAAGAAGTAATACCTTATACAACAAGAAATAAAGGAGGTTTCCATATAACAAACAAACATATGGATATCTGGAGTTTTATGAGAATCGTAACATAAGCCCAAACTGGGGGAAATAATGTACTGGATACACTGGAAACAGGAAACCCGTATAAAGAAGGAATACAAGAAATTGAAAACTTTCTTACGTCAGTTTTGACCTTATAAAAATATATTAAGGTTGTTTATTGAATCAGAGATTTGAATATATATTTGAGAAGAATAAAGAGTGATTTATTTTTTATTCGAATAACTTGTTCTCTGAAATTTTTTATTTATCAATTTCAATTTAAACACTTTTTAGAAATTTTGAAAATTGCAGATGACCTTTGTCTAGCTTTGTTAAACATGCAGACTCTATAAAAAAGTTTTTCCCGTCATTTCCCTCAAATTAACTTTTTAAACCTTCCATCCACTTCAAGCACAGTAGAGGTAGCCTCTCAAGCAAGCAGTGTAGAGCATAAGTATGAAAACTACCCACTTAAGTTGCAGTGCCCTGCACTGCAGCAGCAACCTCTCAAATGCCCACTCACTTTTTTATTATTATTCAGCGAGCGAGTAAATCACTTAAACTGCGAACACGGGCGGTAAAAAATTAAGGTTAAGTGTGTAACGAACACTCAACTGCGCACTATTACATTCTTACACACTACTCTCGTCTCGTTGTCACTTTATTTTATTTGTGTTTTGTATTTTTGACAAGTTAAAAGATTTAAAAAGTATATTTAAAAACGAACAATGCCCTATAAATCTGGACCAAAAAATTATATCAAAAATTTCCCAGGCTGTAGCCACCCCAACTAAATTTTTTTAAATGACAACACCCTTCTTGTCATACTTTATTGTAAAATTGCTACTAAAAAAATATTTTTTAATAGTTTAATTAATGGTGTCAGATCTGGAGATCTGAGAGGCCATGATATTGGTCCTCTTCTACCAATCCACTTTTCTGGATATTTCTGATCCAGCCGAGCCTTAACAGCTACTACATAATAAGGAGGTGCCCGATCTTGTGAAAAATGTAATAAATTTTCAAAGACTATTAAAAAATAGACTCATAGGAGTTATGCTTTTAATTTAAAAACCTTAAATTGCACAAGTCAACGAATAAAAATAAAAATCTCCAACATTTAATAGTACTCTTCGAAACAACAGACCGTGGTACAAGAAAGCAAGGTATGTTCTTGCGCATCTGTTTCCACCACTCCATAAGATTGGCTAAGAGGTGGGATCACCCAGACGCCGCCATATTGACTATTTACATTTTGATGTAAAAAAATTTCTTAGTGGAAGAAGTATAGTTCTCTTGAAAGCAAATACAAAATCTCTTGAATGTTTCTTCTTTCAACCAAGTTCAAAAGCTATGAAAATTATTTATATTTACGCAATTCATTCAAGATACATCACAATTATCCCAATTTTCTAACAAAATCTGGTAGCTTCTGATACTTGGAAGGGGATGCAAAACGCGCACACCGTTTGCGGCAAAAGTGTTTAGTACGTTTTGTATCATTGCAACTTGCAATTCACCATTTTCTTAAATAATATTATAATTCTATTATAGGTATTTCTAATATACATTTTGCCGGTTGTGTTTTGTTGTGGCGTGTTTCACGATGGAGTTGGAATCATTAAAATTCTTTTTAAATAATTGGAATATAATTAATTTGTTTAATGTTTTTAAAGGAAAGGTATCAATTAAAATATGTAATAAAATTTTTATTATAAATCATATTTATGTTAGTTTATTAGTGTTGGTACAAAAAAACTTGCGCTTTTGTTGATACCAAACAATAAATGTTTTATTGAAATATTTTTTGTAAACCTTTTCTTCAGACAATCTTCTAGTTTTCAAAGATGCCAATATTAAGGCTTAAACTCCAATCACTATGAAGGTCCTTGATTTTAATTGTTAAATTAATGTTTTAATTATTAAAGTTAAAAGGCTATGTGGTGAGGAGAATTTAAGCTTAAATACTAACAAAGCTGGTAGGTTCAGTGAAGATCAGAAGCTTTTAAATGAATCAATTGGACCAAGAGATATTTGCTCTAAAATAAAAATAAAATGTGGTTAGGTCAATAGTATATGCTATTGTAGCAACACAAATTTTCTTTCTTAGCTTTTCAATAAAGAGATGCAGTTTTCTTGTTAAAATTCCATTTTTTTGAGATAAAAAACGTTTTCTTCATTCAAAAGAGAAATATCTTCCGAAGAAATATTTTTGGTTCTTGTACCGAATCGCTTGCTCTTGATTTAAGTTAATATTGTAATATCTGTAAACGAATAGATTAATCTCTCCCCTCAAGTAATTTAGAAAAAAAATAATGTGAAGATAGTTTCTGATTTCTTGGCCCTATAAAAGCGCAAATCTTTTGAATCAAAGTGATTTTCTTTTAAGAGATTATTTTTTTCGGTGAAGATTTATTTTAAAAAGAAATAAATAAATTTCCTTTTGTATACATAGATATATAAATAACAAAATAATTTAGGTTAATGTTCTAGGTTAATATTTTTTTTTGTTTTGTAGCTTGTATTTGTTTTATTTAATTCGAAGATAGTTGGTATAAGAAGGAAAATTGGATCGAAAAAACCTTCAAACTACATTCCCATAAAAAAGATACGGTTCCAACTTAACAGCTGATCTATCAAGTAGGTACTTTGTAAGATATTAAAATAAAATTGGAAAAAACAATATAAATCATAGTTCTTTGTACAGTGTGAAAGAAATTAAAATAAAATTTTAAAAAGAAAATGAAAAAAAATTAAATATTTTTTTTGCATTGTGCAGAAAATGTGCCAAGACAAGGAAGATAATGATCTTCAAGGACAGTCCATAACAGAAACTCAAACTGCAGCATGCTGATGACATTGAAATGGCCCGGGACTGGCATTAGAAAACCAGCTTATACCATACCATAATATAATATTTTTCACAAGTTTAGTTTGTTTTATTCAATGTTGGCTCCATGGTGGCCAATTTAGGGTTTTTATTTGGCAACTATTTATAAATACAATTTTGTAATAAATAAATTAAGAAAAAATATGTTGCTTACATTTTTCTTGCAATGTTAATGTTGTAACTTGACACTTTCCATTTCATTCTTTATATTTGCTTTAAAACAGGATATTTTATTTTATTGACAATACAATTCATTATAATTAGAACCAATAAAATGCCAGTATTCCATAGTTACGCATTTTATCACAGCGACAATATTTTTTATCACCTTGTTTACACGTTGCTAAGGATTTTGACACTTTTCTTGATTTGACATTTCGTCACCTGAGAATTATAGTGTTCTATCTGCATTTTCTTTTTTTTATTCAGGTTAGTCTTGTTTTAAGTATTAAAGATGCATATTGTTCTATCTATATATAATTGGGGTAGAAATTGTATAGTTTAAGCCTTAAACTTTACAATTTCTACCCCAATTATATATAGATAGATCAATATCATCATTAAGACTTAAAACAAGACTAACCTGAATAAAAAAAAGAAAATGTAGATAGAACACTATAATTCTCAGGTGACGATTTGTTGACATTTAAATACCGTGTTTGTTAAATGATTAAAATAATGAATTATAAACTCTAAAATATCGATGGGTTGGTGTAAACGATAATAAAATTAAGGAAAGTTTGAATAAATAAGGTTTATTAAAGTCTTTTTATATTTTAAAGCACATTTTAATTTCAAATGTAAAACTGACAATTCGTTAAATCCTAAAATTCATTTTATTTTCTCACTAAATATAACTCGTGGTATGATTAATTATCGATGATATTTACCTCGATATTTACTCATTGAAATGGGTGAAAACATTTGACTTATAATTGGCTTCAAAACAAGATATTTTATTTGAAAACACATTATTTAAAACATTTAACCTAAAAACTAAAATTAAATTTCACTTATCCCTTTTTTATATTTTATTTGGTATTTAGTTAATATTATTTACTTTAAAACAATATAATTTATTTGATTGAAAATATCATCACGTAAAAGAATGTACTTTAAATGCCATCTGTCGGCTGCCGACTGAAGCTTGCGATTGCAGAAAATTCTTTCGACCCGCACGCTTAGCGTTCTCTTGGCTTTTCCGTCCAAAATTGTCGCGTCGTAAAAAAGTGAACTTCTCCATTTTCGATCCGCCGTTAAATTTATGGCAACTACGTGTTCTTCGTCTCGTTTTTCTACCTCGATTTTGCTGCGAAGTTTTTTAGGGTCAACATATCGCGGGTGCTAAATAAATTTGCAGGGTAGTTTGGAGAAGAAGTGTGGGCCTGAATTTTTTATGAGACTGCCTGATAGTTTTAGAAAGTTATAAAGAGAAAATGTGGTTATTTTTAAATAAAACATTGTTTTTATCCTCTATATAACCACCCCATAGTGCTTTAAATTGCATTAGTCATTTTCATCAATTTTCAATTAGGCTCCAACATACGTTCTGCAACACTTTGCTTTACTCTGCTCTTCTTTAATTAATATGGCCAGCTATTTCGTCTCGTAATTTTTGCAATTTTTACCCGAAAAAATAATAAAAATGCCTCGAGCATTGCCGTTTTCCTTTTTTCTCCTTTTGTACCCTTTGTTTTTAGTACATACATACGTATGTTTTCGCAATCATGTACAAGTTTGGATTTGAAATTAAATCCTCGAAATTAAAATGCGTTTTTCCGAAAGAGAATTTCATTCTTCACATTCGCAGATATGCACTCAAATGTTGCATGCGAATTGTATTCAAGTTGTCATAGTACAGTAAAAATTTTAAATACAACTTTTAACAATTTGCTTCAGCGTTAAAAATTAGCAAAAGTTTTTCACTTTTTTCGTTTTTGCTTCGGGTTTGAATAACAATAAGATGTGTGAGGTTGAGAAAATATGAGGGAAAACACGAGAGATATGAATCGAAAGCGAATTTAAAAGTTTGGGATGGCTTTATTCAATTTTTAGTTTGAAAGTTTAGGATAAATTGTGAATTTTGGAAGAATTTAACTTTTTAAATGCTTTTGTTGTTCGTTTATGCATAAATAAAAAACGAATATACATATGTTACATTATTTTTAAGTCCGATATGGTTTCTTTAGTTCCTATAGTTTCTTTAGTTCCCTAGTTTTCTTCGTTTCTCTAGTTTTTTTCGTTTCTCTAGTTTTTTAGTAAATTTTCATTTCTTTAGTGCCACTAGTTTTCGTAGTTTTCAGTTTTATCAGTATTATTAGGTTTCTAGTTTTTTTAATTTGTTAAGTTTTTGGCGTTTTTTTTAGTTTCGTTGGTTTCTTGTTTCTTTAGTGTCTTCAGTTTATTTAGTTTCTCTAGTTTCTCTGATTTGTTATGTCTTGGTAGTTTTTTTAGTTTCTTTGATTTTTTTATTTTATTTGTTTATCTTTTACTTTCTTGAGTTTCCTCAGTTTATTGTAGTTTTTTTTTAATTGTTAAGTATTTGGTGTTTTATAGTTTCTTTGGTTTTTTTAGTCACTTTAGTTTTTTAGTTTCTTTGGTTTCTTCAGTTTTTTTTCTTTGTTTTCTCTAGTTTCTTAGGTTTTCGTAGTTTTATTAATTTCTTTATTGTCTGCAGTTCATTTATTTTCTCTAGTTTCTTTGATTTTTTAAGTTTTTGTAGTTTTTTAGTATCTTTCGTTTTATTGTTTTTTTTTGTTTATTTGTTTTATTTAGTTTCTTTAGTTTTGTTCAGTTTTTTAAGTGTCTTCAGTTTTTTTAGTGTCTTCTGTTTTTTTAGTATTTTAAGTTCTTCTAGTTTCTTTAGTTTAGGTTTTTGGTCCTTTTAGTTTCTTTAGTTTCTTTGGTTTATTTAGTTGTAGTATTATTTCTTTAGCGTCTTCAGTTTCTTCAGTTTATTTAATTTTTCTAGTTCCCTTGATTCGTTAAGTTTTTGTAGTTTTTCAGTTCCTTTAATTTCTTTGGTTTCTTTAGTTTCTTCAATTTCTTAGTTTTGTTTCTTTAGTTTCTTCAATTTCTTAGTTTAGTTTCTTTAGTTTCTTGTAGTTTCATAGTATTTTTGGGGACATCTTATAATCATGTCCCCATGTAATATAGTTTTGTATGTGTGCACTTTAATATTAAATAAATTATATTATTATGATAATTTATGATTTGTGATACCGGCGCATTCGCCATTTTTGACACTTTTTATTAGTGTAACTTTTAAACTGTGTTTCAAGTCTTTAGTTTCATCGCATCGTGCAAAAATAAATTCACTCCACCATACTATGCGATACACTTTTTTTCTTCTTTTTCCCGGGGGCGGACGCTACCGCCGCCTCCGCCTACTACCCCTCATTTCCATATTAAAGAGCCTTTCAAACATTCATACCGACCGGAACGCGTTTGCCGCTAAATTATGCCTGCAATTTGCCTGCTGCTGCCGCCACGGCACAGAGGCGACGGCACATCGCGGCACTGCTTTACTTTAACCCCCGTTCACCGCCTTTAACCCAGCAGAATTCGACCGTGCCTCAGGGAAACAACCAGAATGCCCCTGTGCAAGATCTGTTTTTGAATGCTAGTTTATTATTATAATATACATATATATATAAATATATAAAATATAATATATATATATACGGGAGTTATATGTATTAATGGTTTTCCGGGATATGCTCCGTGTTGTCGGTTTTTGGTTCTTAAAAGAACCGTATGTCTGACGACGTTTCGGTACAATCAGCATAGTAACATCCCTCTTTTTGTGAGGTAAGATCAGTGGAGGATATAATGGATTTGAATATTGCTAAATGTGAGGTTGTAAATTTTACCAGGAAGTTACCACCTGTTTTGTTTGACTATAAAATTGCTGACACTTCTTTGGTTGCCAGTAATATGAAGAATTTGAGCATTACTATTAATAACAAACTTTCTCTTAGGGATTACAAATTTTAGGGAGACAAATGAGATATTTCAATGATATCAATTGTTTTATAAGTGTATTTGTTTCTTTAGTTAAGTCAATTTTAGAGTACAATACTATTGTGTGGTCTCCTTATTGTGATAGTCATATACATTGTATAGAACGGGTGCAGAATAAATTCTTGCATTTTTGTTGTATAAAATTGGGGTTGAATGTTGATGAATTAAATTATTGTGATTAGATCCAGGATGAATTTACAATCGTTACAAATAAGAAGAAAGGAAATAGATTTATGTTATTTATTCAAAAACAAGCATATTAATTGTATTGATATTGTTATCAGTATAAGTTTTAATATACCCCTAAGAATGAATGAATAGGCATGTTCCGCTATTCCATATAAGCCAACATTTTACTAATTATGGCTATTTTCCCCAATTTGATAGAATGGGCAGCAGCACTGCTAATAGCTTAGACATACATAGGACTTTTAAAAGGGAATTTAGATTGATACTTATCTACTAATATGTGATTTTTGTACCTAATTGTTGTATGATTTGTACCTAATTGTTGTGTAATTTTTGTACCTAATTGTTGTATTTGTACCTTTTTGTTTTTTTTCTTACTATTATGACTTTTTTTATATTATTGTACCTATTTATATTGTGGCAATTTTGCTGTTAATAAGTATTATTATTATTATTATAAAGAAAATAAATGATGACATTAAACATCAATCAATTTTAAAATTTTCTCTGAAAGTAACCGAAAAATATCAAATTATTATTATTATATAATTTATATATAATTATATAAATTTTTGGACGAACGACACCAAATGCTAGTAAAATAGATAGCATTGAAGGAGGAGCAAGAAATTTAGCATCTACAAGCCTAATAGCATCTAAACCCATTATAAAATCTACCAGGATATCTCAAATATGCCTATATTTAAGAAAACTGTTAAAATGCAGTTTTATTAAAACATACTTTGCATTCAGACACCTCACACAAACGCCAAATTAAAATTTTACATCCCCCCGTTCTACTTAACAACTCTCCACTCGAAAGAAGAGTAAAACAAAAAAAAAGTGTCGATTGCGCACAAAATAACCGTGGCTATTAACATGCCGCAGCACGTTCAAAGAAGCTCGTCATGCCTACGGAATCCAATATGTTGAGGGTCCTTCTCCAGAACCCCCCCCCCGCCGGGGAAATCGATGTCTCCACTTGGCCGCCCCTCGACAGCCGCCCCCTCGTTGCACGAGGGCAAGGCAGATGAACCGTACAAGTCGTCTTGACCTCGATAGTCAACATCACAGTGTTTAAAAAAAAAAAGAGAACTTATCAAATTTACAACGTTTTTATCATCGATTTTTTAAGTTGATAGGAGGCCAAATACCAACTTCAAAGATTTTTATTTAAATGTAATTCAACTTATAAGGTAAACAATCTCTTGAGCATTCAATAAAGCTTCTCGGGAAACAAAGCAAGCGACTTTGGGGAATTTACGTTTTCCTCCACACACCCCCAGAGATAATATCTAGATTTCCTACCGCACGGGGGCGGCACAATCCCCGTGGAGAATACTCGTCTGGAAACAGGAAATTCTTTACCTCGCGGAAATATTTTCCGACGCTGATTTTTATTGGGGAAAATCGCAAAACTGACTGAGCCGCTGCTTTAAAATCGCAGGGGAATAATAAGAAGAATGGTATGATATTGGAAATTGGATATCGAATAGGCTAGAGAGAATAAAATTGAAGGTTTTTTGTTTTGTTTAGATTTGTAGGGAAGTATAATAAGAAAACAAAGTATTAAAAAGTAAAATAATATATTTATTCTACTCCCACCTTTAAAACGCTCATTATCGTACATGTTTCCATGACACTAAGTGACATTTTAAATGCACATTGAAAAGCTGTGGCTTTATGGCGATTTAGTCACGGGCTGAAGTTAGCAACAGGTTTGTCAAATGTCATACAATCGTTAAAATAAATTGCCTTTTTTGTAAAATAATACTAAATGTGAAAATTATTTTATAATCTCGATACAAAAATACAAAAGTATTAAATAGATTCTTGAGGCCAATATTTAAAAAGATTTTATGAACGTTTGTACTGACCTTTTAATTTCGCCGTAGTGTACTACGTGCAGTTAAATAAATTTAACTAATAAATCGTTAAAAATTTTGCGTGCAGTGCCCATTAAACATTCTCTTCTCTTTTAGTGTGAAAAACTGCTTCTATATCGATTGTTGGTCTATTTTCAGGGGATAAATTTTGATTTACACAGAAAAAATTGAGATTTTAACGCAGGTAGATTCTTAAGTTGGAAATTCTAACGGGAATTCCAATAAATACAACTGTCACTTTTTGTA